ACCTGAGCTCAAGGTCTTTGATCTCTGGGGCTCAGAATGCAGCAAGAGGCTTGTGCAGTCAAAGACTCTAAGAGGAGATGGAGGGCCTGATTAGAACAGGAGCTGGGGGGGTGGGATTTGAGGGTGGGGAGGTGGGGGTTGGGGGGGACAGCCTCCACCTACCACTTTGATGCCTGGCCACCCCCAAAGCACCTTTGCCCTGAAATCCATTACCATCAGACTTCATCTGTGTTCTCCTGTCCCCCTTAGAGTCTACTCTGCACTCCCCACCCAAGGCCCCCCTGACCCAGTCAGAACTTAAGTCATTTTCAAAATCCCCTTCTCTCTGCTCTGGTGTCATGTTGCAGGATGGTGGTGGTGGCGGGGAGGGGGGGCTTGTAGTGAATTGTATGGCTGGGTCAGTCCAGCCAAGAGAAGGGAGATGGGAGGGATTGGCTTCCGGAGGCTCCCTTCCCCTCCCCAGCCAGGTGAGACCAAGTGGGAGATGGCTGGCATCTCCATTTTCCAGTGGAGGATACCAAGGCACAAGGCAGAGGAGAGCCATGGGTTCTGAGTACTGTGGAATCATCTGGGAGCCAGTCTGCCTTCTCTGACCATCCCTCCCCAAGGTCCAATGTCTCTTAATATATGCTGGTCTCCTCAGCAGCAAGGAGGGTAGGATCGGGGAGTCAGACACGCTAGGATCTGAACCCAGCTCTGTGCCTTTGGGTATGTTGCTAAACTCTCTGAGCTCCAACATCCCAGTGTAAAGTGAGAACTGAGTGCCAGCATCTACTCCAGGTGTGGCTGGGTGAGGAGGGAATGCCTTGCTGCACATGGAAGTGCTTTCCAAGCAGTTTGGGTACTAAGTGGATGCTTTTCCTGCCCTGGGCTGGCCCAACATCCACACTAGAGGTTGGGGCTAAGAGGCTTGAACCAGTAAACCTTTGTGTAGGTGTTCAAGAACCACCTAAAATGTGTGTGTGTGTGTGTGTGTTTGTGTGCACAGGCATGTGTGTGATCGTCAGTAGGGTCACTGAGTTCAGCCTTATTGGGATGGAGGTGCCTGGTGCCCACAGGCCCCACCCTGTGAGGGGTGGAGGAAGGGCAAGGGAGGGGGTGGGGAAAGATGGCTCAAGACACATACACACATTCCTGCAGAATGAAAGGGCCTGCTGTGTAGGAGACAGATAAGGTGGAGGGTGGGGAGGGGAAGTAGGGGAAGTACCTGCAGGAGGGAATTGGGGAAGTGTGGGCATGGGCACCTGCCATTTCCCCATGCTGTGCCCCCTCCCAGGTGTTCCAGGCTCACTTAGGTATGGCTGAGTGAGGAGGCCTCTGAGAAGAGGGAAGAGTCCCCCCCCCCCCCCACGGATGGCCTCAGGGGCCTGAGCAAGAGAGGGTCCTCGCCTCACTGCCTGTGACGGCCTGTCACCCTGCAAGCCTCCAGCCCCACAGACCCCTAATCAAAGTGACAGCTCCAGGGGGCCTCCCAGAGCACCATCCCACCCCCACACCACCTTCAGCAGCCTGCCAACAAACGAGTGGTCCTCCTAGCTGCCACAGACCTGAGACCTCACGTGTCTAGTGTCTAGCAACAGAGCCCTGTGGTAAAGGCTCCTCATACTTTCCCTCATGGCTCTTGAAAGTTTACTGTGACTCTGTTGTTCAGAGGATGAGGCTGCCCCGGTCAGCTGCACCCTAAGGGCTCTCTGCTCTGGCCCAGTACCCACCAAGGGCTGGGAGAGGCCTGCAGCATTGCTGAGGTTCCTTCACCCCCACTCCTAACCCCAGGGCAATTGCTAGCATCTTCTTGTTGGGGCTGCCTCTCCCAGCCCCAGCTCTCAGAGAGCCCAGGAGACAGGAGAAATCCATGGAAGTGGGTGGGTGTTGGGGGGTCATGGCCTAGAGTAGCCTCAGAAGTAATGAGGCCAACAGCAAACAGGTTCTTGGCTGCAGCCTCCAATTCCAGGGTTCCCAGAAATCTGAGGGCCCTTCACCCTTGCACTAGGCATTAGTCATCACTCTTTCATGCTCCTGCAGTGCTGCTCACTCCCTCAGCAGGGCTGTTAGAAAGGTCTGCTCCCCCCAAAAAAAGAAAGTTCTGGCCCCAATGCTGTCCCCCCCCCCCAGACCGTTATACCCAAGGGCAGGCACTGAGTAGAATCCTGGCTCAGAACAGCACACGCAGAAGACTAGAGGGACAGTGACTCACTTCCCATTTAATCATCTGGAGAGGAGTAGCAGGCATCATGTCTCCTGGTGTCCCCACAACCCTACCCAGAACTCTGGGGATGAGGACCGTGGGAAGAAGGAAGCCCCACGAAGGGGTCCCCCTTCCCTTGGGCAGTCTGTCTCTGGCCACATCTGGTGCTGTGGCCTTTGCTCCTCGCACGCACATCGCCTGCTCTCTCCAGGTGGGTATGGTGGGTGAGAAGGGGAAGAGAGAGGCTTGTACCTCAGGGACTGCTGCCCAGAAGCAGGGCCTGAAGAGGCCACGTGGGGCAGGGGCGGGAGGGTGGGCAGCCAGGCAAGACTGGCCTTCCCCACCTGGAGCCATCCTGGGCACCTTCCTTTCCACATCATCCAGTCACCCAGTCCTGCTGGCTCTGCTACAGAAAAAAACCCCAGAACCTGTTTCCTCCTTCTTCTCATGCACCCCCAAGTCTTACCCTTCCCCCATGCTAGAGACATCTAGAAATACCGACAACTCCTGCTCAGAGCCCTTCAGTGACACTTATCACCTTTGGGACAAAGGCTAGACACCCAGCCTGGCTGTGAGGCCCTCATGGGTGGTTCCTGCTCAGCTTCAACCACAGCCACACACCCAGCACTGCCCACCCCTCCCGGCAGGCTGCGGGCCTCAGGCCCCACGGCATTTGCTCTAGCTGTTGCTCTGCCTGGGATTTCCTTTCCATCTCCAAGATCCAACAAGTGACATCAGTGTCACTTCTCTGAGGGGAAAACCTGACTTCTGCCAATTCCCTTCTGCCTCTGACTTCTCCAAGCACCGTTATTCTTACGTGTTCTTATACCGTATTCTTCGAAACCCGTTATGATCTTGGACAAACTTGTCTGCGTGGGTCTTCAGACAGCTCTTTCTTTGACAGGCAGGTATGCCACCTTTGAAAAATATGAATTCCCGGGCAAATAACTGTATGTTCTCAGTTATATGCAGAATCTAAAAAAGCCAGTACCATAGAAATAGAGATTACAGTGGTGGTTGCCGGGGGCTGGTGGGTGGGGACAATGGGGAGATGTTGGTCGAGGGGCGCAGACTCCCAGCTGTAAGACAAATAAGATCTGGGGATCAAGGGACACCTGGGTAGCTCATTGGTTGAGTGTCTGCCTTTGGCCCAGGACATGATCCCAGAGTTCCAGGATCAAGTCCTGCATCGGGCTCCCTGCATGGAGCCTGCTTCTCCCTCCACCTATGTCTCTGCCTCTCTCTCTCTGTCTCTCATGAATTAATACATAAAATCTTAAGAATAAAAAGATCTGGGGATCGGATGCACAGTGTGGTGACTATAATGAACAATACTGTATTACCTACTTAAGTGGAGAGATGTTAAATGTTATCAACACACACAGGATCATAATTATGTGAGGGGATGGAGGAGTTAACAAACCTTATGTGATAATCGTCCTGCAATACATATGTGTAGCAAGCATCATACTGTATACCTTAAACTGACAAACGTGTCAATAATACCCCAATAAAGCTAGAAAAAAGCAAAAATACGAATCCTCCAAACAAACTGTTCTATAGCTTGCACAGAACTGGTTTCTATAAATAGCTAATGAATGAATGAGTGACTTTTGAACGCAGACATATATACACACACGCAACACTCCAGAAATATCCATACAGTCAGATACACTCTTCCTCAGAGTCACACGCTTGGTGTCCAGCCCCAAGCGCTCAGGTGGAGGAGCTGGCCCCAGCATCAGGCCATATCCTGCCTTTGCTTATGCAGTGACTTCTGCCTGCAGTGTCCCTTCTTCCCAGGCCCCTGTTCCCAAAGCTCAGTGTGGCCCCCTTCTTCCAGGAGGCTTTTCTGGCCTTATCCCCAGCATACAATCACTATTTCTCCCTTTGTATCCGCATGTGGCCCCCACAACACTCTTCTGTTCTTTTTGTGTCCGCCTCAGACCAAAGACATACTCCATCTCGGAGCGGGATGGTGAGGAATAAGATGAGAATTTGTCTCCAGTTCCCAGGGAACAGAGTGGGCGACCCCTGAGTATTCACCAAAAGAACAGGCTGCCTTGTTACAGAGTTCAGAGTGTAGCCCTCTGGCAAAGCTACCAGCCCAGGCTGCAAAGTAGGCTTCTGGTGGCTACTGTCAAGAACCAGGTAGAAGTTCTGGTCCTGACCATCTCCCACACTGGGCCTGGTTCTGTTTCCCTTGCCAGCCAGCAGCCTGCCTCTCCTTGTTTTCCTCATGGCCCCTATATGCCTGTCAGTTGGAATAACCCTCATGAATGCATTCACCCATTTCCCCCAGAAATCTGCCCTGTTGCCAGCGGGCCCCTTCAGTGCTCACAGCTAAACCTCTGCAAAGTCACCCTAGCCAGGGAGAGGCAGAAATCCTGGCCAGGAGTTCAGCCTTCAAAGGAAGAGGGGCTTTCCCTGTCCCTCAGCAGGAGTGTCATGGACCTTGCTGACCTTCAGAGACTAGAGCAGGAGCCCAGGGTACCCCTGATCAGAAAGTCTCTCCATGCCAGGGGGCTTCGACTGGACAAATGTTTTAGGAGTCCTGGCCCCAAGAGACCCCACAGGGAGAGCTCCCACACCCCAAAAAGACCTGAAGAGAAGCCCTCAGTCCTGAAGACCCTCAGATCCTGAGAGACCCTATGGAAGGTTGTCCAGATGTATAAGGGGGACTTGTGACCCTGAGACCCCACTGAGGGCACCCCAGACCCAAGACCCTCCCAGAGAGAGGCCACAGACACAGAGCCTATCATGGGGCCCAGAAGAAGCCTGTGGGAGCAGCGTCCCTCTGCCCCTCCACACTGACCTGGCCCTGTGGGGGTCTTCCCCAAGCTGAGCTGCCGAAGCCGCCGCTGGTGGGCGCGCCCCCCACAGTGCACCTGGGCCTGGGCTGCTGAGTTCAACTGGATGTTGCAGACATCACAGAGAGTGTAGGATGGCCGCTTCCTCTCCCGCTTGGGCTTAGGCGGTTCTGGGGGCCGAGGGGGGCACTCCGTAGCTCCAGATGTGGGGGGCTCCTTCTCACCCGGGGGAGAGGGACTCAGTGGCCGCTTCATACCTGAGCAGATAAAGAGGGAGACCAATAAACAGGCTGAGTGTTGTGAACACACACAGAAGGAGCAAGAGGAGTTCAAGTCATGGAGACACCTGTGCCCTGTGTCCCAGGTGAAACTCCCCGGCTTTTGAACATTCCCAACACAAGGGTGGCAAAAGGGAGTATGGCAGGGTCCATTTCAAACAAAGCAGCATTAAAACACAGGGACATCAGCGGTTTAGCACCTGCCTTCGGCCCAGGGCGTGATCCTGGAGTCCCGGGATCGAGTCCCACGTCAGGCTCCCTGCATGGAGCCTGCTTCTCCCTCTGCCTGTGTCTCTGCCTCTCTCTCTGTCTTTCATGAATAAGTAAATAAAATCTTTAAAAAATAATAAAAATAAAACACAGGAACACCTGGAAGAGTGTCACATGTGTCCCCACACCCAGAGGCTGACACCTGGGGGCCTGGCCACAGAGCAAAGCTCAGAGAGGAAGACTTGGATTTTGGGGGCCGGGGGATCACGGAGGAAGAGGCAGCAGTGAGGTTAGGGGAGTGACACTGGGGGAAGCCAGGGCCCTATTCTCAGCCCCACAGCAGGTGCTGACAGTCCTGTGACAGGCAGGCATGTGGCGCTTGCTGCAACCACTAGCCAGAGGGGTGAGTGCAGAAACCCTACCTCCCTGTGCCCAGTGCCTGGCCGGGTGACATTCACAAACACTGACAGTGTGTGAAGCCATCCCCACCCCTGACCCACGTGGCTCCAGATGTCCCTTGCTGTGTTGGCCACCCAGGCCGTGGCAACAGTTGATATTTTCAGTAGCAACCTGGGCCCTCCTGCCTGAGCACAGCCTCTTCTCTCTCTCTCTCTCTCTCTCTCTCTCTGTCACACACACAGAGACACACACAGACACACAGACACACACACACAGACACACACACACCACCCCTCCAGACCCCTCATCTGCCACACGCAGATGTCATCTTTCCATTCCAACTCACTTCTCTGGAACGTTCCTGCCTGACTCCTCAGCTCTGACCTGCGCTATTCTGGGGTTGCCAGCTCCCTTTCGCACACCGAACTGTGTTCATTTTCACTTCCTGGGCCTGTGTGCCCGCTCCCTGCCGGTGCTGCACACCAAGGGGCTTCCTGCGGGCAGGGCCTGAGCCTCGCTGGCGGGGACACGTGACTTCCTCACAGCCCGCAGAGGAAACTCCCCCTGAGGACACCTTGATTTTGGACCTCTAGCTTCTGAGACGTGAGGCAATACATTTCTGTTGTGTAGGCTACCTGGTGCGGCGGCCCTAAGAAACTGCTACGTGGAAGGCCGGACCCGCTGGCTTCCCTGGGTGCCTGAGCGGGCGGCCCGCGAGCCTGGTGCCCCGGCGAGGTTGCAGTACCAGCGACAGCCTCCAGGTAGCGCAGCGAACAGCTCGCGGGAAGCTAAGAGCTGGAGCTCCGGACCCCTCCCGGGAAGGAGGACCCCGCTCCTCCACTCCTGGGGCAGGCAGGCTGCCACCCCTACCCCGAGCTCCGCCAGCCTCCCGGGCACTGTCTCTGGGGTCCAGGGCACAGTTCTGCCCACAGAGGGCACCCTGGGAGGTCACTCTCATCACCTCGTGAGGGACCCCCTCCTCGGCTGAGTCCCCACCTACATTCTGCACTTTCTCACCTCTAGGTGGAGGTTCTCAGAGTCACATTCCTGCCTGCACGAGTCGTCCCCCACTCTGGCAGCAGGAGGAAGGACCAGGGAGAAAGTACGGGGTGCAAGTGTTTTAGGAGGGGGTCCAACGTGCCAGTGGGGAAGAGGCTTCAGGGGCCTGAGATTTTCCTGGCCACCCCTAGGAGGAGAATGGCTGGCCCCGCCAGGGAGGGGACAGGGGGATTTTGAAATCTTGGTGCAATTTATGACAGGCAGGCTGAGGACATGGCCCAAGAGAGCCGACAAATATCTGCCGGGGGCTGATTAAACCTCTGTGATATACAACCTCTGGGCTCACAGGGCCTGCCTGGATTCCGGGGCTAATTGTGTTCCTCTGGCCAGGCTGCTGGCCTGCTGCAACCTGCCCTGCCTGACCCAGCCTTCCCAGCTGTCCCCTCAGGAGCCACACCAACCCAGCTAAGCCATGATTCCCAGCCAGAAAATGTGGAGGAGTGGACACTTTTGAGGGCACATACACATCTGTCTAACCCCTGCGGTTAGCATCAGCAGGCGAGCACCCCCTGCCCTGGTCCCTATAAAGAAGCAGGATGACTCACCATAGCTGGACCTATACTTGGACAGGGCCTGGCTGGTGCATTTTCTTTTACAGAAGAGGAAATTGAGTCCCAGAATAGGGGAGTGGACTTGCTTCAAAGTACATGGAAAGACAGTGAAGAGCTGTTTCTAGAAGCTTCCTTGACTACTTTGGACTACTTTGGTAGTCCAAAGACTACCCCTTTGGGACCTGCCTTGACTACTTCTTTACCCAGCTGCCCAGGCCACCTCTTTAGATTTACAACCCCATTTATTGAGAGCTTACTATGTGCCAGGCGCTTTATACATAGGATCTCTTTTAAACTTCATAACAACCCCATGAGGTGGGCACTATTATTAACCTATTATCCCACCTCATAGATTAGAGAACAGGCATTGAGAAGTTTCATAGCCAGACAATCTGACCCTGGAGCCCAAATCCTTAACCACTGCCCTATCCTACCTCTCCTTAAAGCCTGCCAAGCCCTCTTTTGAACTTCTAATTGGGGGTGGGGGTGTTACAGATTCTAGGAAACTCCTGAGAAGACCCTACAGATTCTAGGAAACTCCTGAGAAGACCCTCGGGATGCCCAGCCCCTAACAGGGGCCACACCCTGGCCAGAAGGGGTTGGAGCCAGAGAGGCTGGGAGAGAGGGATGTGAAGAAAGCCCAAGAACAGAACCTCAGCTGAGTTCTGGAAAGACCAAGTGAAAGCAGAGGAAAGAGCATGCACGTACCCAGGTGTCTGTCTGCGGTTTGCACAGGAAGGGGGTAAAGCCCTCCTGCTCCCACCTTCCTTGAGAGGGGGCTAGAGCTGCAGCAAGGTTGGACTGTGGAGGGAGCCACTCATTTAAAGACAGGTTCACACCAGAGCTGGAGAGCTGATGGAGGCCAGGGTTGCTGCCTGTCTGTCTGTCCATCCATAGGGAACTGGGTGGGGGTGGGGGGAGCACCCAGGCTCCACCTCCACCCCTTTTGCCATGATGAATGGACTTCAGCTTGGGTTTCCATGGGGCCCTCGGCAAGGCTGTAGGGTGGAGTTCTTGGCCTGCCTGTCCAAAGAAGGCTGGAAAGGGACCTTGGAAGCCACACAGTGCCAAGCAGGGAGTTTTTTCAGCTGCAGCCTGGGGAAGGGGTCCTCAGGAAAGAGCTGCTTTTGCCAGAGGGTTAACAGGAGAGGAAGGTTCTAGGCCTGTCCACAGCCTTTGGCAGGGCATGAAGGGCTCCCTCACTAAATCCTTAATGAGCCCAGTTACACTCTGGTATTTTCCCCCATGCCTGCCAACATCTACCCTCCTACCTTCCCCAGCCAGGTCCTAGGCCCTGCCTCTGAGAAGGGAGCCCAGCTGGCTGGCCAACCTTAGGCTAGTCCCTGTGCCTCTGGGCTTCAGTTTTCCCTCTTTAAAGAGAGGGGGTGGGGCTGGGCTAATCTCTCAGGTCCTTTGCAGGCAGTGTTGCCACTGCAACACAGAGCAGCTGCCTCTAAGGTGGGGGTGAGGGGAAGACCGGGTCGTATTTGTCTGTTCCAGCCACCAGAGGAAGGCGGGGTGGGTATGGAGAAAGACCTGGTGAGTGCTCCTTGCCCTCTGGCCAAACAGCACCTCCATTAACCCTCACAACAACCCTGTGAGGCTTTACAAATGAGGAAATGAAGGCTCAGAGTCCAAAAGAGAGGCAGGTGAGTGGGGCCAGTCCTCTCTCATCATGTGATGCAGGGGGAGGGGGTGCACACCATGGCAGCCCCCATCCCTCTCACTCACAGGATCACCAACAGGAGTTGGGGATCCTGCCCTTCCCCACCAACCTAGCTGCAGAGAGAAGTGTCTGGAAGAAGAGAGGCCTTGTCTGTTCTTGTCCTAGCAGAGTGTGAGCCCTCTTGGGCCCGGCTCAGTGCCCCTGAGGAGCCACCACTGAGCATTTTGGTCTCTCCTGCCACCTCCCCACTCCCAAGGCTGACAGCTTTCTAGGGTGAGGAGGAGGGAATTAGCCACTTCAGTGCATGGCCACTAACAGGGTGGCATCTGCCCCAGCCAACCTGTGGGCTCAGAGAGCTGGAGTCACATCCAGGTCACACCCAAGACTCCCTGGAGGAGCCAGAGACTCCCACCTAGAGGAGTAGGATGGCCCTTTGGGACCTGCCATGCCAACCCCCAGCCCATACCTCCCTGCTTTGTCAGGGTGGGAGGCCCTGGGATGGGGCAACAGCTGCTCCACTCCAGGTATCAGGAGCCAGCGGTGGGGGTGGGGGTGGGCAAACCAAGGCAGCCATGTCTGTCTTCCCATCCAAAGTGGTGACAGAGAATGCCCAACACCTTTCCCTGGAGATGCTGGGTGCTGGGGATTTTAGGAGTAAACTGGCTAAGAGGTGCTGAAAGCCAACACTCAGCTCTAAGGAAGGGAGAGAGAGGGCATGGGAGGTGAGGGAGAGCCATGGTCCAGAGATGAGGTCACCATCCCCCAACACTTCTCTTCCCCCAGTCTGCTCTGTCCTCACCCCTAGTGGCTGGGTGTCCCAGAAGGCCTCCTGCCATCCTGACACCCCCAAAGATAGGGGCTGCCTCTCCTGGGCAGTGATACTCCCTCAAAAGAGCCTCAAGCCACCCCCAGGAAGGAAGTCCTTCTTGCTATCTAATCTGCAACTCTCCTTGTCTCTAAGATGATGATGGGGGGAAGGCAGTTAAGAAGAGAGTATTAGCCTTGGCACCCCCTTTTCTAGCCTCTGTTGCCAGGCAAGTCTTGGGAAACCTGACCTGTTGTGCTGGAGATCCCCTAGACCCCCATCCCTCTTA